ACACATGCTAAGTTTACTTTTCATAATTTGAGTAAAAGTTTACACATCAAGTTGGTGTTCCATTTTACAGACCATACACATCATGTTCTGTGACACTTGCTACCATCTCCGCATTTTTTTTCTATATTTTATTAATTTTCATAAACATTTACAGAGATTTTGGGTTTCCATTCATTCCTTGTTGCACTACCATCTCCGCATTTTAACACTGCTCTTCTCACGTCATCATTTTCCCATTTTCATTTGTACTTCTTTTCCATTCCTTCCTACCTTCTGATTATTTTCCCTGGGGAAATTCTACTCTTTTTATTTTGTATGGTTAGGATTTCTAAGGAGTGGTTTCCTCCATGATATTATTGATCACATACTGGCCTATTGTTTGGCTGAAAGTTGAGTCACGGAGTAAGTTCAGTTCTAAGCTTGAAGGGTAACTAAGGGCCACAGACTCAGGTGTTCCACCAGTCCCCATCAGATCATTGAGTCTGATCAAGTTTATACTTATGATCTCTTGTACCATGATCCCTTTCAGAACAGTCAGTTGTGGTAACTGGGAACCATCTGGTGCTGTGAATCAGGTGATTTTCTGCAATCTTTGCTTGAGAAAAGGAGAGATCAATAATTGAACCTTAGAAGGCAGTTCACAAGCGTTAAAGACCCTAGTCACTACTCATCAAAGTAGAATACAGAACATTGTAGACCATGCAATGCAAAATTACCTTGCTATCCCCCACTGAGTGTGCAAACTTTATGACTTTATGGATTTACCTTTATGACTGAATAATATTCCATTGTGTGCATACACACACACAACACACACACACACACACACACACACAAAACACGTTTCATTTCCTATTCATCAGTTGATGAACACTTGAGTTATTATCATCTTTTGCCTATTGTAAATAATACTGCAATGAATACAGACACCTATGGTAGCCATGCTAACCATGGTAGCAACAGTCAAGAAATAAAAAATCATGTTGCACTGAGGAAATACGCTGTCAAAGACTTCTTTAAAGAAGTAAGGAGCAAGAATGTCAGTTTAAAGACTAAGATGTGCCTGATACAATCCATTGTATTTTCAATTGCCTCCTATATGAAAGTTGGACTACAAATAAGTTGGATAAGGAAAACCAAAAAGAACTGATGCTTTTGAATTTTGATGTTGGAGAAGAGTACTAAATAGGCCCTGGACTGCCAATAAACCAAACAACTCTGTCTTGGAGGCAATGCAATGAGCATGCTCCTTATAGGCAGTTAGGGTGAAAGTTCTCACATATGTTAGGCATATTGTCAGGAGGGGCCAGTCCTTCTAAAAAAGACATCATGGGTGTGAAAGGTAGAGAGTCAGTGAGAGAGGAAGATCTTCAACAAAATGGATTGACGCAGTGTCTACCACAATAGGCTTAAGCATGACAGGTCATGAGAATGGTGAAGATCTGTTGTTCAGAGGGTTACCATGAGTTGTAGTCAATTTGATGTCACCTAACAACGGCCACATGTGCAGGCTGGGTTTAGAAGAAACCATGGTACTAGGGATACTATAACTAATGTTGAATGGATCTTGGCTGAAAGCAAAGAGTACCAGAGGAATGTCATCTGTGCTTCATTGACCATACAAAGGTATTTGTGTGGATCACAACAAACTGTGGCGAACTCTGAGAAAAATGGGAATCCCAGAGCACTTGACTGTGCTTATGTGAAACCTATATTTGGACCAGGAGGCAGTCATCAGAACAGAGCAAGGAAATGAAATCATTCACAATTGGGTAGAATATAGACCAGGGATGTGTCCTATCTCCACACCTTTTCAATATGCAGAACAGAACAGCCAGGAGCCTAGGCTCTATGAGGGGGAATGTGGCATCAGGATTGGATGAAGGCTCATCAACAACCTGCATTATGTAGGTGACACAACCCTACTTGCTGAAACTGAGGAGCTTTTGCTGCTCTTGCTGCAGAAGGTCAAGGACTGAAGCCTTCAAAATGAATTGAAGCTCAACATCAAGAAAACAAAGATTCTCACCACTGGGCCAATTGGCAGCATCATGATAGAAAATGAAGAGATTGAGACTGTTAATAGCTTCCGTTTGCTTGGCTCCACAATCAACACTCTTGATACCAGCAGCCAGGAAATCAAAAGATGAATTGCATTGGGAAAATTTCCTGTCATGGTCCTCTCCAGAGGACATCATGGGTGTGAAAGGTAGAGAGGGCAGTGATGTCAGCGTGGAGATTATAAGGTACACCTGATCTAGGTCATAGTCTTCACAACTACTTGCTATGCATTAGAAAGCTGGACAGGGATTATAGAAGAATCAATGCCTTTAAGCTGTGGTGCTGGAGGTAATACACCACAGACTGCTAGGAAAACAAACTGGTTCATCCTAGAGAGAGTGAAACTAAGCTGCTCCTTGGGGACAAGGAATCTAAAGCTTTATCTGACATTGGGCATGTTGCAAGGAGTGACCAGTCCTTGAAGAGGGTGAGAGGGTGGAGAGGCAGCACAAGAGAGGAAGACCCTCATGAGATGGATTGATTCAGTGACTGGGGTAATAAGGCTAGGTTGTGACAGAAAGAGTCAGAAAGGTTGGCACAGGATAGAGCAGGGTTCAGAGCTGTTGTACATAGGATCACTATGAGTTGTAAGCGACTTGATTGCACATAACAACTTAAACAGTAGTTTATTTACCTAAAGTTTTGCTTTATCTAACCATCATATAAAGTATATAATAGAAATAATATATTGCTGAATTAATGATACTGTTTTCATTTTTATTCAATTACTTTCCATTTCTTCAGACACTTACCATGATATGCCCAATATACCTTTTACACAAAACGCAGGTTAATGGATCTCTAAGTAACAGAAGAGTTTATTGCTCAATAACTACAATCAATAGGTATAAATATACTCAAGGGGGGTGAAGATGTTAATATATTGTACAAACAAAAATTAAAATATGTGCCACCCAGTATTAAAATTTTAATTTAAAAATCCTTGCTTTGATTATGCTAAGTGAACTATTTCAGTACATAAGGACAAATATTGTGTAAGACCATAACTGTAGAATGAGTCTGATGATCCAAGGGGCTGGTGTGGAAGCAGAGGGCTGAGGCTGGGCGGGCGGGGGAGGTAATAAGCATATGGTCACATAATTTGATATCAGGGAGGAGGGAGGAGGAACGAACTGGTGTCAAAAACAATATAAACAAACTTTGTAAATAAAGCAGTATAAATTTTTTTTTAAATCCCAGCTTTAAAAAAAAATTAATAAATTCTGGCTTTGATGAGAAAGGAGAAGAAAGACAAGAAGAAAAACATATAGTAGAAAATAAAGCAACAGTTCAGACTAAAGATTTCCATAAGCCAGGCCTGGAAAATGTCACTGCTCAATAAAATATATGCTGAAGAAATGTATGAAAAATGCCTAAACAGAAATCTGATTTCACGGTTACTTAGTCATCTGTCTATACTAGTTTACTAGCATCACATTGATATTTACCTTCTTATTGGTTCTTGAGCACAAAAAAAGCAATATTTGAGAATCTTCCAAATGTCTAAGGGATGTTATCTTTGTGGTATCTAGATCTTTGATTAGTTAATTTGAATAACAGAGAATGAAATCACATAATAAAAAATGAGAGATCAAGGATACTAGAGTTTACTTCAAAACAAAAGGAAGTAAAATTCTAGTTGGTCTCTCTCTACCTCCGTTGTGAAAAGTGCCATAGTTTTAAACCTAGAGAGAGGGTGACACCAAGTCTCTCCTTGGAGGCTAGGATTTTTAAGTTCTACCTCATTTATTTTGGGTACGTGGCCAGGAGAGACTGGTTGAAGGACCTTATGCTTGGAAGGGTGGAGGGACAGCGAAGGAGAAGAAGACCCCCCAGATGTGATGGATTGATAATGGTTGGTGTGTCAGAATTAGTGATACTGGCTCAGGACAGGGCAAGGTTCTGAGCTGCTGTACACAGGGTCGCTATGCGTTGAAGGAGACTCCGCAGCACATAACAAAAACAACTGAGAGTTTTACATACACCGACTAGGAAGCAGCAAACATGAAATATAGGGAACAATTAAACTACAAAATATATAATCAAATTATCTTTTCATGTGTATATAAGAACTAATTTAGGTCCATGGAAACATAGAGCTTAAGTATATTATGTGTGTATATTTAAGAAAATGACTGTAATGAAGAAGGAAAAAAATTTCCTAATAATATAAATTAGTATCCTTAAAGTGTTTCTAAGGCAGGTCCGGTAGCTTAACGGTAAGGATTTGTACTGCTAACCCAGAGGCAGCTGGTTCAAAATTGTAATCTGTTCTTTGGGAGAAAGATGAAAAATCTCCTGTGTGATTTATGTTGTTGTTGTTGTTGTTGTTATGTGCCGTCGAGTCGTTTGCGACTCATAGCGACCCTATGTACAACAGCCCTAAACCCTGCGCCAATCCTGCGCCAACCGCACCGCCTCTGACACACCCATCCCGATTACCCCAGTCACCGAATCAATCCATCTCATTGAGGGTCTTCCCCTCCTGCGCTGTCCCTCCACCCTCCCAAGCATGATGTCCCTCTCCAAGGACCCGTCCCTCCTGGCAACATGTCCAAAGTATGTCAGACGAAGCCCCAGAATCCTTGCCTCCAAGGAGTAGCTTGGTTTAATCCTCTCCAAGATGAATCTGTTTGTTTTCCTGGCCGTCCATAACCTCTGAAAACCCACTGGAGGGTCAGCTATGAGTCAGTTCCAACTTGATGACACAGAACAACGACAAAGGATTTCAAATAGTCCTCTCTTAAAAAGTAATGCAAACTTTCCTCTGAAATTTTCCTAATATTCGAAGTATTTTTATAGGTGATGGAAATTCGCAAAACTCTACATTTTCATCAATTGTTAATTATAGTGATAATGTCTTAAAAGAACTGTACTAGAGCAACATTTAAATTTCACATATGAAGCCCAAGGTTCATGCAGTGATGATTTAAGCTTACCTCGGACTTTAAAATACTTCACATGATTTGCCACAGCCTCTGTAACACTCTCTTCTGGGCAGATTTTCACTCCATTTGGAAACAGAGAAGATCGCCTTCGTCGAAGCAGCCACCGTCTTTCAGCGTCTCTGTGGTCAAGAAGCTGTTTCTTTTCCGTTGATAAAGAAGGATCTGTGGACTCTGAGTCCGTGAGGGGAAAAGAAAATGTACTCTTGGGTTCGTGGGTCTCTTCAAAAGTTAAGAAGGTTTGTGCTATGGAGTGAAAACATAATCAGTGTTCTGGTGATAACTAAGTAACCAAGGTAACAAATTAAAATTGGCATTGGTTCAACAGTGGGATTTGGGGCACAATGCTCAGATTATACCCGAAAAAGAGAGGAACTTCTTTTCAATTTCATTTCCACTCTTTTAAGATTGTTAGTTACTGAAATCAAGAGTACATCCAATTGCAACACAAGATATAAAGAAAAATAAGATTTCTACTACATAGTCCACAAAGAAAAAAACTAAATTTTGGATAGATTTCAAAATTTCAAATGAAGCAATTTCTTCAAACTAGTCACCCCGAAGAATGCTATGTTTATAAAAACTATAGTATAGAAACACAGAAAGATACAAATAACTTTAGATTTTAAAATACCTGTTAACGATGGAAGATTTCCTTTTATCAGAATGAATAACAAAAAACCCAAAGAAGTCTTCCCAAAAAGAAAAAACATAATCATTTGGGCTAAAACCAAAGGAACAAGGATGAATCCTTAATAAAGCATTCAAAGCCTTACTACTTCCAACAACAAACTGTTACAATAAAAGTCTAACATTTAAAGGTTTGAGCATAGAAGACCACTCCAAAACTATTCTAACTAGTTTAAATAAAAGCGGCGTCCTTTAAAAAGTACCTCTGATATTTCTGAAATAACAAACGTGCTATGAAGGCAGAAGAGATAAGCTAATTAGAACAGATGGGCAGAGACAGCTCCTTTAATCTAGAGAGCTAAGCTCTTTACTAACACGCTTTGCCTTTTACAAGAAGTCTAAGAATATGTTACTTATATGATTCACTTAGGCTGTACACGTTTTCCGAATCTAATAGATGCACAAGTGTTCTGGGTTCTTCTATGACTCAAGATGGGAAAGCATAATATGTCCAAAGTGACTATAACTATTTAAATAATACAGAGCTACACATAGAACAAAATTAACTTTCCTGGAGATCTCTGAAAAAAAGCTGTCACTTTGCATATTTCCCTCCGTCATAAGTAATTTGAAAATCTTTCACGTCAGCCATTTATTATGTCTCCTCTTGTCAATAAATGTATATATAGAAATTGTAATTATTGTTATGTGCCATCAGCTGGAACTGACTCACAGCTTACCCTCTAGTAGGTTTTCAGTGGGTGTTAATCACACAAGAGGAGATTCCTCATTTTTCTGCCTCAGAGCAGCTGCTGAACTCGAACCACCCACCTCCTTCTAGACTGGGAGCAAAACTCATTACCATTAGGCCATCAAAGGTCCTATATATAGAAGATGTTGCTGTTGTTTGCCCTCGAGTTGGAACCAACCCATAGCTGATCCTCCAGTGGCATTTCAGAGGCAGTAAGTCTGTTTGGGAGGAAATTGTCCATCCTTCTCCCTCAGAGCAGCTGGGCTTCAAGTCAGATGCCTTTGAGATTACAGCACAGCTTCTTACCACTAGACCACAAGTTACTGTTGTTGTTATTGTTAGGTGCCATCGAATTGACTATTAACTTATAATGACTCTATAACAAATAGATCTAAATTCTGTTCTTCCCTGTGCCATCCTCACAGTTCTTGACAACAAGAGCACATTGCAGCAGTCACCATGTCAATCCATCTGGTTAAGAGTCTTCCTCTCCTTCCCCAACCCTCCACACTTTCCAGCATCATGTCCCTCTTAAAGGAATAGCACCTCCTAGCAACATGCTCAAAGTATGTGAGGTGAAACCTCATCATTCTTGCCTCCAATGAACACTCTGGTTGCACCCTTTCCAAGACATACTTGTTTGTTCTATTGGCTGGTTTATTGGGATGTTCAGTGTTCTTCTCCAACACCACAGCTCAAAGGTGTCAATTCTTTTTCTGTAATCCTTATTCATTGTCCAGCTCCCAGAAGCATAGCAAGTGATTAGAAAAACTGTGGCCTGAATCAGATGCACCTTAGTCTTCAAAATGACATCATTACTCCTCAATAAATTGGAGAGGTCCCTAACTGCAGACTTTCCCAGTGCAGTGTCTCTTTATTTCCTGCCTGCTTGTACCAAGGGTGTTAATTGTGAACCATATAAGATGAAGCTGTTGACAATTTCAATCTCCTCTCTATCCATCATGATGTTGCCTATCAGTCCAGTGGTAAGAATCTTTGTTTACTTGACATTGAGACACAATGCATACCAAAGGTTGCATTCCTTGATTTTCTGCAACAAGTACTTCAAGTCCACCTCATTTTCAGCTAACAAGGTTGTGTCATCTACATAATGCAGGTTATTGATGAAGCACCCTCCAATACTAATGCTGCATTCCTCTTCATAGAGTCCAGATTCTCGAATAATTTGTTCAGCATACAGACTGAATAGGTATAGAGAGAGATAATAAAACCCTGATGCACTCCATTCTCAATTTTAAACCATGTAGTGTTCCCCTGCTCTGTTTGCACAACAATCTCCTGATCGAGGTATAGGTTCCACATGAGCACAATCAAGTGTTCTGGGATTCCCATTCTTCTCAATGTCAGCCACAACTTGTTATGATCCACACAGTCAAATGCCTTTGCATAGTCAATAAAGCATAAATAGACACTCTCCCTCTCCTGGTATTTCTTACTTTCAGGCAGGATCCATTTGACATCAGCAATGATATCCCTGGTACCATGGCCTCTTCTAAATCCTGCTTGAACTTCTGGCAGTTCCCTACCTATGTACTGTTTTAGCTGTTTATTTATTGATCTTCAGCAGTATTTTGCTTGCATGTGATATTAATGATATTGTTCAATAGTGTCCACATTCTGTTGGATCACCTTTCTTGGGATTGGGAACAAATATTCCAATCCAGCAGCCAGAAAACTATCCCCCAAATATCCTGGCATAGACTGGTGAGTGCATCCAAGGCTGCATCTGTTAATTGAAACAAGTCAATTGGTATCTCACTGATTCCTGGGGCCTTATTTTTGCCAATTCCTTCAATGCAGCTGCCACTTCCTCTTTCATATCACTGGCTCCTGTTCATATGGTACTCCCTGAAATCTTTCAGGGTCAATCAGTTCTTTCCGGTACAGTGATTCCGTGTATTCCCTCGATCTTCTTTTGATGCTTTCTGGGTCATTGAACATATTGCCAATAGCACCTTTCAATATTGCACCTAGAGGCTTAAATTTGTTTTTCAGTCCTCTCAGCTTAAGGAATGGAGAGTGAGTTCTTCACTTTTCATTCTCCAATTCAGACTCTGCACATTCCACTATAAATATTTTGCTTTGTCCTCTTGAGCTGCCCTTCAGCTCTTTTACTTAGGCATGTTTTCCTTTTTGGGGGAGGTTCTTAATACTTTAGTGCAATTTCTAGAGTCTCTTCTGGCATCCATTTCCATTTTTTTTCTCCCCTGTTTTTATAATTTCTTCTGCTTTCGTTATGGATAATATCCTTGATATCATCCCACAACTTATCTGGTCTTTGATCATTGGTGTTTAATGCCTCAAACCTATGCCTATGATATCTTGAAATTCAGATAGAATCTATTCAAGATTTTATCTTGGTTCCTGTGGACTTATTTTCATTTTATTCAGCCTCAATTTGAACTTGCATATAAGTGATGATCTGACCCACAGTCTTCCCCTGTCATAGTTTTGATGGCTAATATTGAGCTTCTCCTACAATTTCTTCCACAAATGTAGTCAGTCTGATATCTATGCAGCACATCAGATGAGATCCACTTGTAAACTCTTTTAGAAGAGTTATTTGCAATTAATAAATCATTGTAAATACAAAATTCAGTCATTTTGTTTCTAGCCTCATTTCTATCACCAAGGCCATATTTTCCAACTACTATTCTTTCTTCACTGTTCCCATGTTTGCATTCCAGTCACCAATTATGATTAACGCATCTTGATTGCATGTTTGCAATCAAGTCAATTTTGGACTGCAAGATTTGGCTCCAGATGTAGAAGCATGTATTTGAATAATGGTCATGTTAATGGGTCTTCCTTGTATGTGTATGGATAGTATCACTCACAACATTGTATTTCAAAATAGAACTTGAAATTGACTTTTTTTACTATGAATGCAACACCATGATTCTTCTTTTTCATTCCCTGCATAGTATACCATATGATTATTTGTTTCAAAGTGGCTAAAGCTGGTCTATCTCATCTCACTAATGACTAGTATGTCAATGTTCATGCATTTTATTCCATTTTTAACAATTTCTTCCAACATTCAAACTAGGTATATTCCATGTTTCAATTATTAAACAATGTTATTGTTTTTCCTCATTTCAACCAACTTTCAGTCTGGGCTCATCCACTACACTACTATAATATCTATGTTCCTCTAATGTTCATGGGGTTTTCAAAGGCCTGTTATTTAGAAAGTAGATGGCTCACCCTCTTCATAAAGGCCATCAGTACACCCTGTTGTTGTTGTTGTTAAGTGCCATCGAGTTGAGCATGGCTCATAGCGACCCTATGAACAAAAGACCTGAACCCTGTTCTATAACTATCATTGTTTCTCTCAGTTCATAGATTTTCCAGAGACATGTTGTTTAAGGAGTGATGTTACTCCTGCTTCCAAGTTTATCTTAATCTGGGAGTGCCAGCAAAACTGTCCACCATGGGTAACCATTATGGAATTTGACACACCAGTGGCACAGTGTTCAGCAACATAGCAACCCAAATTACCTCAATACAGCAAATTGACAGACCATTGCTATATCACTTAAAAGAATGTTAGTCCCAAACACAAATAACAGGCCCAAGGACCAAATAAATTTTTAAATACCAAGGCCCTCCACCTGGTCCTGTTGTCTCTAAACAATAGGTTTCCAGCCCATAGCTCATTGTTAACTAAATCAGCAAATCAAATCTTCTCACACACAGTTGTGAACAAAATAAAAACCAATCAAACAGTCCACACCTGATCTTCAACCAGTACCTGGTGGAAGGCTTTTGTATTTAAAAGTCAGTTGGTCCCTAGTCTCCAGTTTGGATGTTGATGTGTTTGGATTTTTGTGTTAGTTGAGGGTCAGGTGTGGACTGTTTGGTTGTGGTTTATTTTTTTTTAATTTTATTATTTTTGTGTGCGTGTACCGTCAAATCAGATCTGACTGGTACAGGAGGAGATTGTCCCTCCTTACCCGGCAAAGCATCTAGTGGATTTGAACCGTTCGCCTCTGGGATTGTAGTTGCAGCTCCTTGCCACTAGGCCACCAGAGCTCCCAGTGGTTTATTTTTTTTATTTCGTTCACAGTACACCCTAGTAAAGTTAATTCATAGTATAGTTGCTATGAGGGTTAAATTATCTAAAATAGGAAAAAATTATGTAATACAGAGAAAATTACTAGGATTGTTGTTAGAAACAGATCTGAACCCTGTGCTATCCTGTACTATCTTCATGTTTTCTGACACACTAAAGTCCATTTGGGCAGTCAATGAACATGTCAGGCCACCTGGTTAAGAGTTTTCCTCTCCTTTACTGATCCTCCACCCAAGCATCAT